CATTTCAAGTTGTGAGTTTAGTGTTTTTGACCCTAAGAAACACTGATGCATTAATCAATAACAATAATCCACAGCTCCTCTCTCTGCTCCAGAGGATTTAAAAAAAATATATCCCAATGCCACAAAAATGCATCAGTGACATGGTTGAAATCTTGTCTCCAGAAAACAAAAAACTGAAACAAGCGGTATCAGTGTGTTTGATGTGGCTCTTTGCAGTAACATAGAAAAAATGTGGCTCTTAACCTCTGACTGGTTGGCCACCCCTGGTCTAATGGAGAGTGAGGTGGGCTGAAGATCGGAAGGCTGTGAGTTCAAATCCCGCCAGGAACACCACCACTAGTGTGCCCTTGAGTAAGGCACTTAGCCCTTAGTTACTCCAGGGAGAATGTCCCTGTAATCGGTCATTATAAGTTGCTTTGGATAAAAGCGTCAGCTAAATGAAATGTAATGTGATTAGTAAAATATGCATGAATAAATAAATAAAAAGTTAACTAGGTGAAAAAAGGTAAGATACACTTTTAAAACTTGTTGAGAGAAAACTAGTCTTTGCTGCTGCCTCAAAGAGGAGCAGGGGGAGAGGATGGAGAGGGGGGAGAGGAGGGAGAGGAGGGAGAGAGGACAGGAGAGGAGGGAGAGGAGGGAGAGGAGGGAGAGGAGGGAGACAGGAGAGGCTGATTCAGGAGCACAGACACACTCACAACTATAAATGAACCAAAACTAAATTAATAAACAAGTTTCAGTGTTTTTTCCATATTGGAAATGGGATGTTGTTGGTTATGGCCATGATTTTATGATTATTGAAATGTATACAGTTCTGTTAAATATAGGTGTTTCCATAGATCTAGTCTCTTTATTTTCCCCTCAAAATGCACCAGATTGATGCATTTAACTCCAAAATAAAAAATAAAATCTTACCGGGGGGCATGCCCCTGGACCCCCCTAGAGGATTTGAGGTCGACCCCCACTAAAAATCACATGGATAGGTTCCTAAATACATTAATAAATACATTAATTTTTTTAAATAGTAACCCATTTCCATATGTTCATGTGTGGGTAGTAGATTTAAACTATAGGGCTATCATTATAGGCCCTGCCTGTACCTGTTCGCTCTGCCATCGCGTGAAGGGTCTGCTAACAAGCGACCAACAGAAAGGTTAATGTTGTTTCACGTCACCTCAACCCCCCCCGCTACCACCACCCCCCCAAAGTATATTTCAGATCTGTGGGAAACACTGGCAGTTAATGGACCAGCACCAGAGGCGTTCCCATACACACAGGCGTTGGAGCTGTTCTTCATGAAATCCCAGAAGGATGAAGTGCTCTGACAAACAGTGCCATCTTTGCGCAAAATGATTATACCGGAATGAAAAGTCAATAAATAATGTTGTTAAAACTTTTTTTTTTTTTTCGCGCACCCCCCCCCCCCCCCTCCTTGCCACCACCCGCCCAAGTATATTTCATATCTGTGGGAAACACTGACAGGTATTTGGGTTCAACATGTAAGAAGTAGAAAGTACAGGTATTTGAGTTCAACATGTAAGAAGTAGAAAGTACAGGTATTTGAGTTCAACATGTAAGAAGTAGAAAGTACAGGTATTTGAGTTCAACATGAGACAAGTAGAAAGTACAGGTATTTGAGTTCAACATGTGAGAAGTAGAAAGTACAGGTATTTGAGTTCAACATGTAAGAAGTAGAAAGTACAGGTATTTGAGTTCAACATGTAAGAAGTAGAAAGTACAGGTATTTGAGTTCAACATGTAAGAAGTAGAAAGTACAGGTATTTGAGTTCAACATGTAAGAAGTAGAAAGTACAGGTATTTGTGTTCAACATGTAAGAAGTAGAAAGTACAGGTATTTGAGTTCAACATGTGAGAAGTAGAAAGTACAGGTATTTGAGTTCAACATGTAAGAAGTAGAAAGTACAGGTATTTGAGTTCAACATGTAAGAAGTAGAAAGTACAGGTATTTGAGTTCAACATGAGACAAGTAGAAAGTACAGGTATTTGAGTTCAACATGTGAGAAGTAGAAAGTACAGGTATTTGAGTTCAACATGTAAGAAGTAGAAAGTACAGGTATTTGAGTTCAACATGTAAGAAGTAGAAAGTACAGGTATTTGAGTTCAACATGTAAGAAGTAGAAAGTACAGGTATTTGAGTTCAACATGTAAGAAGTAGAAAGTACAGGTATTTGTGTTCAACATGTAAGAAGTAGAAAGTACAGGTATTTGAGTTCAACATGTGAGAAGTAGAAAGTACAGGTATTTGAGTTCAACATGTAAGAAGTAGAAAGTACAGGTATTTGAGTTCAACATGTAAGAAGTAGAAAGTAAAGGTATTTGGGTTTCAACATGTAAGAAGTGGAAAAGTACAGGTATTTGTGTTCAACATGTGAGAAGTAGAAAGTACAGGTATTTGAGTTCAACATGTGAGAAGTAGAAAGTACAGGTATTTGAGTTCAACATGTAAGAAGTAGAAAGTTCAGGTATTTGAGTTCAACATGTGAGAAGTAGAAAGTACAGGTATTTGAGTTCAACATGTAAGAAGTAGAAAGTACAGGTATTTGAGTTCAACATGTGAGAAGTAGAAAGTACAGGTATTTGAGTTCAACATGTAAGAAGTAGAAAGTACAGGTATTTGAGTTCAACATGTAAGAAGTAGAAAGTACAGGTATTTGAGTTCAACATGTGAGAAGTAGAAAGTACAGGTATTTGTGTTCAACATGTAAGAAGTAGAAAGTACAGGTATTTGAGTTCAACATGTGAGAAGTAGAAAGTACAGGTATTTGTGTTCAACATGTAAGAAGTAGAAAGTACAGGTATTTGGGTTCAACATGTAAGAAGTAGAAAGTACAGGTATTTGTGTTCAACATGTAAGAAGTAGAAAGTACAGGTATTTGTGTTCAACATGTAAGAAGTAGAAAGTACAGATATTTGGGTTCAACATGTAAGAAGTAGAAAGTACAGGTATTTGAGTTCAACATGTAAGAAGTAGAAAGTACAGGTATTTGAGTTCAACATGTAAGAAGTAGAAAGTACAGGTATTTGAGTTCAACATGTAAGAAGTAGAAAGTACAGGTATTTGTGTTCAACATGTAAGAAGTAGAAAGTACAGGTATTTGAGTTCAACATGTAAGAAGTAGAAAGTACAGGTATTTGAGTTCAACATGTAAGAAGTAGAAAGTACAGGTATTTGAGTTCAACATGAGACAAGTAGAAAGTACAGGTATTTGAGTTCAACATGTGAGAAGTAGAAAGTACAGGTATTTGAGTTCAACATGTAAGAAGTAGAAAGTACAGGTATTTGAGTTCAACATGTAAGAAGTAGAAAGTACAGGTATTTGAGTTCAACATGTAAGAAGTAGAAAGTACAGGTATTTGAGTTCAACATGTAAGAAGTAGAAAGTACAGGTATTTGTGTTCAACATGTAAGAGTAGAAAGTACAGGTATTTGAGTTCAACATGTGAGAAGTAGAAAGTACAGGTATTTGAGTTCAACATGTAAGAAGTAGAAAGTACAGGTATTTGAGTTCAACATGTAAGAAGTAGAAAGTAAAGGTATTTGGGTTCAACATGTAAGAAGTGAAAGTACAGGTATTTGTGTTCAACATGTAAGAAGTAGAAAGTACAGGTATTTGAGTTCAACATGTGAGAAGTAGAAAGTACAGGTATTTGAGTTCAACATGTAGAAGTAGAAAGTTCAGGTATTTGAGTTCAACATGTGAGAAGTAGAAAGTACAGGTATTTGAGTTCAACATGTAAGAAGTAGAAAGTACAGGTATTTGAGTTCAACATGTGAAGAAGTAGAAAGTACAGGTATTTGAGTTTCAACATGTGAAGAAGTAGAAAGTACAGGTATTTGAGTTCAACATGTAAGAAGTAGAAAGTACAGGTATTTGAGTTCAACATGTAAGAAGTAGAAAGTACAGGTATTTGAGTTCAACATGTAGAAGTAGAAAGTACAGGTATTTGAGTTCAACATGTAAGAAGTAGAAAGTACAGGTATTTGTGTTCAACATGTAAGAAGTAGAAAGTACAGGTATTTGTGTTCAACATGTAAGAAGTAGAAAGTACAGGTATTTGAGTTCAACATGTAAGAAGTAGAAAGTACAGGTATTTGAGTTCAACATGTAAGAAGTAGAAAGTACAGGTATTTGTGTTCAACATGTAAGAAGTAGAAAGTACAGGTATTTGTGTTCAACATGTAAGAAGTAGAAAGTACAGGTATTTGAGTTCAACATGTAAGAAGTAGAAAGTACAGGTATTTGAGTTCAACATGTAAGAAGTAGAAAGTACAGGTATTTGAGTTCAACATGTAAGAAGTAGAAAGTACAGGTATTGAGTTCAACATGTAAGAAGTAGAAAGTACAGGTATTTGGGTTCAACATGTAAGAAGTAGAAAGTACAGGTATTTGAGTTCAACATGTAAAGAAGTAGAAAGTACAGGTATTTGAGTTCAACATGTAAGAAGTAGAAAGTACAGGTATTTGAGTTCAACATGTGAGAAGTAGAAAGTACAGGTATTTGAGTTCAACATGTAAGAAGTAGAAAGTACAGGTATTTGTGTTCAACATGTAAGAAGTAGAAAGTACAGGTATTTGAGTTCAACATGTAAGAAGTAGAAAGTACAGGTATTTGTGTTCAACATGTAAGAAGTAGAAGTACAGGTATTTGAGTTCAACATGTAAGAAGTAGAAAGTACAGGTATTTGGGTTCAACATGTAAGAAGTAGAAAGTACAGGTATTTGAGTTCAACATGTGAGAAGTAGAAAGTACAGGTATTTGAGTTCAACATGTAAGAAGTAGAAAGTACAGGTATTTGAGTTCAACATGTAAAAAAGTAAAAAGTCTTCAGAAAAAATAAGTAGTGGAGTAAAGTACTGATACCAGAAAGATGTACTTAAGTATAGTAACGAAGTATTTGAACTCCACTACTTCCCACCTCTGCATGGGACACATGCATTACATTTATTCACATTATTTCTGCATTAGCACTGATTTACCGTAGGTCTCGGTACATGCTGCTGTGAACCGGCCTCCCGTTGTCGTACGTGATTCTCTCGTCGTAGCACCAGGTTCCCCCAATGTTGTCGGTGAGCTCGAACACCACGGGGGGGGCGAAGCGTTTCCCCTTTGACAGGATGTGCCGCGCTGCACAGAGACCCGCCGCCCCTCCCCCGACCACCCGCCACCCGCAGCATCCTCACCCTGAAATACAACACAAAACACAACAGCTCAGACATGACATGACAAGTAAGGTGCGTAGATACGAAGAAGAAATAAAAAACATTGAACATCGTAGGGATCCCCAACCTCTACCATTCTCTATCCGGGGGGTAGAGGCAATAACTAAATTAAGTTGACTAGTAATAATTATCAAAAAAAATAAAAATGATAGTATACTGGGGTGACACTGTTACAGGAAAACACAAAAACTGTCAAATCCAAAGTGCATAGGAGCGCTAGGCTGAAGGAGGAAGCCCTCGTAATATAGAAGATGACAGTGTTGGTTCAATATAGTCCATAAGGCAATAAACCTGATTCTGAACGTGTGATCACAGTATATGTATATTTTGACTCAATAAAACACATGTATTTAGTTACCTTTAAAGTTCTCTCTGTGGTCGGGATGTTAGGAACAGAGTAATGCCTTAAAAACAAAACACAAAAAAACACATTTAAAATTGAGAAAAGCTGACAATTGGTGACACCTGGTGGCAGCAAGAGGTAACAACACTTCACATTTAACAAACAATATAGTAATTATAGTTAAATTAAGTCAAAGTGTGAATATACACATTTGATTGCGATTAATGTATTTTTATGCAAGGTGTTTGTTCAATAAAGATATATAATAGTACAATAAAAACTATTTTCTTTGTGATTTAAAGAGTCCTCTCCTGCTGATGTTCAGGTGTGTATCAGTATGTAGAGTCTCTACTTTAAAGAGTCCTCTCCTGCTGATGTTCAGCTGTATATCAGTATGTAGAGTCTCTACTTTAAAGAGTCCTCTCCTGCTGATGTTCAGGTGTATATCAGTATGTAGAGTCTCTACTTTAAAGAGTCCTCTCCTGCTGATGTTCAGGTGTATATCAGTATGTAGAGTCTCTACTTTAAAGAGTCCTCTCCTGCTGATGTTCAGGTGTATATCAGTATGTAGTGTCTCTACTTTAAAGAGTCCTCTCCTGCTGATGTTCAGGTGTATATCAGTATGTAGAGTCTCTACTTTAAAGAGTCCTCTCCTGCTGATGTCCAAGTGTATATCAGTATGTAGTGTCTCTACTTTAAAGAGTCCTCTCCTGCTGATGTTCAGGTGTATATCAGTATGTAGAGTCTCTACTTTAAAGAGTCCTCTCCTGCTGATGTTCAGGTGTATATCAGTATGTAGAGTCTCTACTTTAAAGAGTCCTCTCCTGCTGATGTTCAGGTGTGTATCAGTATGTAGTGTCTCTACTTTAAAGAGTTCTCTCCTGCTGATGTTCAGGTGTATATCAGTATGTAGTGTCTCTACTTTAAAGAGTCCTCTCCTGCTGATGTTTCAGGTGTATATCAGTATGTAGTGTCTCTACTTTAAAGAGTCCTCTCCTGCTGATGTTCAGGTGTATATCAGTATGTAGTGTCTCTACTTTAAAGAGGTCCTCTCCTGCTGATGTTCAGGTGTATATCAGTATGTAGTGTCTCTACTTTAAAGAGTCCTCTCCTGCTGATGTTCAGGTGTATATCAGTATGTAGTGTCTCTACTTTAAAGAGTCCTCTCCTGCTGATGTTCAGGTGTATATCAGTATGTAGTGTCCTCTACTTTAAAGAGTCCTCTCCTGCTGATTGTTCAGGTGTATATCAGTATGTAGAGTCTCTACTTTAAAGAGTCCTCTCCTGCTGATGTCAGGTTGGTATATCAGTATTAGTGTCTCTACTTTAAAGAGTCCTCTCCTGCTGATGTTCAGGTGTATATCAGTATGTAGTGTCTCTACTTTAAAGAGTCCTCTCCTGCTGATGTTCAGGTGTATATCAGTATGTAGGTTCTCTACTTTAAAGAGTCCTCTCCTGCTGATGTTCAAGGTGTATATCAGTATGGTAGACTGGTCCTCTACTTTAAAGAAGTGCCTCTCCTGCTGATGTTCAGGTGTAGATCATAGTAGTTGTCTCTACTTTAAAGAAGTCCTCAGTCCTGCTGATGTTCACATAGTGTAATATCAGTAATGTGTAGTGTCCTCGATCTTAAGTTAAAGGAGTCCTCTCCTGCTGAATGACCTTCATGAGTTGTATATCAGGTAATGTAGTGTCTCTACCTTAAAAGAGTCCTCTCCTACGTCTCAGTGTTCAGTGGTATACAGTAATGTAAGAGTCCTCTACTTAAAGAGTCCGCTCCTTGCTGGATGTCAGGTGTATATCAGTAATGTTATTGGTCCCCTCTACTTTAAAAAGGAGTCTCTCCTCCTGCTGATGTTCAGGTGTATATCAGTATGTAGTGTCCTCTACTTAAAGAGTCCTCTCCTGCTGATGTTCAGGTGTATATCGTATGTAGTGTCTCTACTTTAAAGAGTCCTCTCCTGCTGATGTTCAGGGGTATATCAGTATGTAGAGTCTCTACTTTAAAGAGTCCTCTCCTGCTGATGTTCAGGTGTATATCAGTATGTAGTGTCTCTACTTTAAGAGTCCTCTCCTGCTGATGTTCAGGTGTATATCAGTAATGTAGTGTCCTCTACTTTAAAGAGTCCTCTCCTGCTGATGTTCAGGTGTATATCAGTATGTAGTGTCCTCTACTTTAAAGAGTCCTCTCCGCTGATGGTTCAGGGTGTTATATCAGTATGTAGTGTCCTCTACTTTAAAGAGTCCTCTCCTGCTGATGTTCAGGTGTATATCAGTATGTAGTGTCCTCTACTTTATAGAGTCCTCTCCTGGCTGATGTCAGGTGTAATATCAGTGATGTAGTGTCTCTACTTTTAAAGAGTACCTCTCCTGCTGATGTTCATGGTGTATATCAGTATGTAGTGTCTCTACTTTAAAGAGTCCTCTCCTGCTGATGTTTCAGGTGGTATATCAGTATGTAGTGTCTCTACTTTAAAGAGTCCCTCTCCTGCTGATGTTCAGGTGTATATCAGTATGTAGTGTCTCTACTTTAAAGAGTCCTCTCCTGCTGATGTTCAGGTGTATATCAGTATGTAGAGTCTCTACTGTTAAGAGTCCTCTCCTGCTGATGTTCAGGTGTATTATCAGTATGTAGTGTTCTCTACTTTAAAGGAGAGTCCTCTCCTGCTGATGTTCAGGTGTATATCAGTATGTTAGAGTCTCTACTTTAAAGAGTCCTCTCCTGCTGATGTTCAGGTGTATATCAGTATGTAGTGTCTCTACTTTAAAGAGTCCCTCTCCTGCTGATGTTCAGGGTTATATCAGTATGTAGAGTGTCTACTTTAAAGAGTCCTCTCCTGCTGATGTTCAGGTGTATATCAGTATGTAGTGTCTCTACTTTAAAGAGTCCTCTCTCCTGCTGATGTTCAGGTGTATATCAGTATGTAGAGTCTCTACTTTAAAGAGTCCTCTCCTGATGATGTCAGGTTATATCAGTATGTAGTGTCTCTACTTTAAAGAGTCCTCTCCTGCTGATGTTCAGGTGTATATCAGTATGTAGAGTGTCTACTTTAAAGAGTCCTCTCCTGCTGATGTTCAGGTGTATATCAGTATGTAGAGTGTCTACTTTAAAGAGTCCTCCCCTGCTGATGTTCAGCTGTATATCAGTATGTAGAGTCTCTACTTTAAAGAGTTCTCTCCTGCTGATGTTCATGTGTATATCAGTATGTAGAGTCTCTACTTTAAAGAGTCCTCTCCTGCTGATGTTCAGGTGTATATCAGTATGTAGTGTCTCTACTTTAAGAGTCCTCTCCTGCTGATGTTCAGGTGTATATCAGTATGTAGTGTCTCTACTTTAAAGAGGTCCTCTCCTGCTGATGTTTCAGGTGTATATCAGTATGTAGAGTCTCTACTTTAAAGAGTCCTCTCCTGCTGATGTTCAGGTGTATATCAGTATGTAGTGTCTCTACTTTAAAGAGTCCTCTCCTGCTGATGTTCAGCTGTATATCAGTATGAACTTTGGTCTACTGTCTGTTTGACTTCAGAGATAAAGAAGAATAACACGTCGTCCAGATAACAGGAGATACATGTTTTTTTCAAGACAAGTTTTGCAAATAAAACATGTAAAAAGTAGTGACGGGGAAAAGACGATATATATTGCTTATTAATAGAAAGTATGCTTTGCCAGGTGTGAAAAACAAAAACTCCTCGTTAAAAAAAAATTAAACTGGTTTAACGGGAGATTTCTTTGGTCTTCATTCATGTTTCCTTCCAGATGATTTTTAATTCCTTCATGGACCTTAACCTCTTAAGCCCCAAGCCTGTTTTTCAGGTTTCAGGCTCGAAAATGACA